CTATAAAATTGAAATATAATGAGTCGTACAAAAATCGACAGAGTATGTATGTATTAACACGTTGACCGCTATGGCGGCCACGGAACTTCGGAACTGCTTCGAAGTAATTACAAGAAGAGCATTGACGTTAAATCAAAATATTTAATTACATAATTAAATAGCACCGTAACGTAGGGGCTATAACATGAACTCATTAATAATTAATTCGAATACCAATCGCCTTTCTTATGACAAAAATGAGTTATACCGCATAAAAGGCTGAAATTTCTCGTGACGGTCGGCGTGTTAAAGTGAAAATGGAAGACTAACTTCAGCTTTTTGTCGTGTTAATAACGTACTCACTTAAGAATGATGTTGCGACTATATTTACTTCTTTTGGGGAATAAAGTGGAACCACGTCGATTCGAAACAATTGTTCTGTTTCTTTAGTTTACTACGAATCATTCCAATGACAATATTTTAATTGTTATTTTTTATCCTTCACAAATCGTCATTTTTATCGACACATTTATTTAAAATTTTTAGTTCTATGATCGGTGCCACCACAGTGGTGACATTCAACGTTTGTTTCCGAAATTAGCGTCGCCAATATGGCGGCATGTTCTTTTTTTCTGAGTACAGTGTTACTTTATGATAGAAAGGTATTTATTGTTCTTTACAGAATTTATATTCGACAAAACAAATTAACAATAAATTTTTAATATCCATATATTTATTATAATCCACCTATAGAAAAATAATGTGATCATAAAGGGTTAATCGTTTAATCAATCCAATAAATAGATTCTCTGAATTTCATCTTATACGAAACTAGAAGAATATTAAACAATATTTTTCAATGTGAATTTCTTCATTCTTTCAAAAAGAGGAATGCCTGGAAAATTTGTCAAATTCCTCGAAAATACTGAATTGCACAAATTTCTTCGCGATAACTTGAAGAATATCAAACAATATATCATCGATATTAAATAGTATTCTTATTAATATTAACTGATATTCTTACTGATATTAATTCTCATTAAATAATATTAAATAATATTCCTCGCTCGTCTCGTTCCAAACTATATTACACTCGATTTCCTAGGATCACAAGAAACGAAGAAAATAGGAACGTATGCGTAGACCATCGCGCGTTTGAATCAAGCTTAGAACAATTTCCGTTCGCCGAGCGAGATACGAAACAGCAGGTGGCATTGCTTTCGGTGCCGAAGGAAAAAAGGAATGTGTAACGATGAACTTTCACCGTATAATGAGACGTTAATGTAACAAATGACATACCGGGTTTAAGCTTTAACTTAACGAGAAAAAATGTCGGCTGGGCTCAACATTCATCTTAGAACGATCATTTAATAATTAAGAGCGCACGGCCGTGCGCGTGGACTTTCGCCGTGTGTGCTCGCGTGTCTCTCGCGTGTGTGCACGTTTTATCAACGCCCGTGTGTCCGTCCGTGTACTCGTTTAAGAGAAAACACGAGCTTGGCCAAAAGCAGCTTGCCGCGATTCCTCCCGGAACGAATGGACCTCTGTAATTTGTAAGCTGGTAATCTTATAGCGATTTTTCAAACCAAATATTTCATTTACCTGCCCGTTAAATTAATGAGTTTTCGCTGGGCCCGATTATGTGACAAATAAAAATGCGTTTATACGGGATTACTTTCGAACTGTAGTTAACCCATTGACATATCACTTACTTTCGCTATTAACCAGTTAACTGTGGAATTCAGTTGGAAAAACCTCTGGTTCTGCGCAGTAAAATCGAAAAATCGAGCGTGTACTCGTCGAACGCAGGACGAATGCGCGTGGAATATATTCTAATGAAAGATCGAAGCGAGACAAGGAAGAATTACATGTTTATGTGAACAAATAAAGAATTCATGAAAGAATTAGTATCAAGCTTTACGATGACGTGTATACTCGTTGAGCGCCATGTCAGTCACCGATGACCGACGCCTCCAAATTACTTGAAAACAATCGTAACATACGAGATAGCCGATGTCGAATAAAAATGTTTAATAAGTCAGCTAAACTGGCAATAGTGTAATGCAAAGATTACAACGCTAAATAATTAACAATTGCCCCTGCTTCTCTGCTACAAAAAAATAACTCTACGGGAACCTGGACAGGATTTTCGCGGCGCTTAACGTGTTAATATTGATGTAAACTTCATGGATGTACGTGCATATGTATGGGTGAAAAAAGATGTTAAAAAAAACGAAGTTTGTGTTGACACCGAATATAAATTGTCATCGTTCAAATAAACGTCTACAAAATCTTCATCGCGAGATTTCCTTATTATTGTACGACAAGGAATTCAATTCTTCTTTCAATTCCGAGTTCAATTCGCTCCTTACCTCTTCCCGTTAGGAACAATAATTAAGAACTTCGCGTGGCTGTTATATCGTGGAGTTTATGCGTTCGATTATTTGATTGCGCCCGATTACACGGGAACCCGGTGTGGCAAAGGGTTTAATGAAACGCAACGAAGTTAACGAAGTAAGCGAACGAGCGAGCGCGAAGAGTTATGAAAATGTAACGACGCTCGGCCATTGCCATTGCGGTTGATTTCTCCAGATTTAACGGCTCGCGCATTAGAGACATGGCTTTATTAAATTTCCCGCCGAGTAATCCGGCGATTTCAATAAACAAGATTTCTATTTAATCGTTACATTCCGAGGTAAATACCGTTTAATTTACGGCCGCTCGAAACTTTAGGAACGCCTGTGGGAAGAATACTTGGCCTCTGCGCGTTGATTGGTGAAGTACGAATGAATGTTCGGAGCTCGATGTGCTCCGAGTTGATAAATACAACTGTATGATAATATCAAGATCACTGATCGCTGATCTACATTTGTTTCAAATTACATCTTTCGTGTGTACTCGTATTTTCCACCGGAAACGATGCGGTTTTTTTGTTAGCAGTGAATCGAGGTACGATTTCAATCGGTATTACGCTGGTTTAATGAATGAAATTGACAGCAATGCAATTAGCAGCAAGCTATGTTTATGTAGATAAAATAAGATTATTTGATAAAAACAATGTCGTTAAAGTAATTTCTTGTTCTCAACACTAGGACTACTGAGCGTTTAATACGATTGATACATAATCTTTATGAAAATAGTAACGATGGATTTAATTGGTTTTCCTCGGGTATTGTTCATAGTATACAACTGAAATTAACACTAGAACTACGTGTATTTAATACGATTAATATGCAATTCCTATAAAAATTGTAACAATAGATTTTTTTAGTTTCTTCAGACTTTCATTATAGTACTCAAACGAAACTATTGATTTTCAGGATAATTTTGAATATTCAATGCCTTCAAGATATCAATAATTGTTATAGTAAATAAATAATAGTTCTAGTGTTAAGTATTTTTAAAGATACATCGAATATTTAATACTTCGAAGGTAACAATCGAGAGATAAGAAAAACCGTTCATCTTGACTAGTTCGGTAGTTCTAGTATTGTTAAAATTTCGTCGTGACCAAATAATTATCTAATGAGGAGACGAATGGTTTATGGTTCTCACAATACAAAGAAATTTTCACATGGAAAAATAGAATGTAAAATTAGAAACTGCATTAGGAGGAAAAAGTGCCGCCTATCGAATTAATAGAAAGAGACGCTTGTACTGTTGGCATTTATCACGGCCTAGAAACGCAAATTAAGTGCAACAATCGCCGGGGGAAAATGGCGGGTGCGTTAAGTGTGTTCCATGAAAATTTCCTCGTAAAGTAACCAGGTTCTTGGTAGAGCATTTACTTTAAGTGTTTCCCGCGGTAACGTATCCGCCGTATGGGTATTGATACGCCATTAAAGAATTCCGTCCTTCGGAATGATCTTCGGCCACATTTTATCCTCTTACTAAGTATTTACACGGCGATTAATGGTGTTTCGCGTACCGACACGCCCGTGTACAAATTTACCTTTCGAAAATGCGTGAACTGCTTCCTTGCGTTTGGAAACAGCTCGCTATGAACCCAATAATTCCAATAAAGTGCCATTTGCAATTAAAATTCCATTTTTAGTTCAGGTGTATCGTACTGCATGTCATTGGGAAAATTCAGATTTTTTGAAAAGAAGAAATTGAACATTTTTGTAATCTGAGAGTTCTCTAGTGTTTTTAGACATTTCGTAACCGAAGCGTTTGGATCTCCAGTTTCCGCGAGAAAAGTCGCGGACTCCCCTTAGATGTTCCAGGAAGGCAGTAGATTAGGGAAAAGGTAAGAATAAAAAACGGAGCGAATGGTAAAAGGCATCGTCGTCGCTATTAGGGAGCACAATCGCCGACTAACAATAAGTGCCGCGAATGCAGAAACTCGGAAGGCAACTCGGAGGCGCATAAACCTCGGTTATAGCATGAAATAAGCTCAAGCGTGATCCTGGTATGGTCAAGGCTCTGATACCCACGAATTTCGCAAGAAGATACTTGCCGGTAATTACAAAAGTCATTGGATTCCACGAAGAAAACGTACCGAAACGAGAGTGTGCAATAAACCGGGGCATTGATTTTCAATTCCGTCTCGCCCTCTCGCTCCTAGTGTTCCACGAATTTCTTCGTAAATTGGTTCTCCACTCGGTTGGTTCTCCATTCGGCAAATTAAGCCACGTTGCATCATGTGGTTTCGGGAACCACGTATATTTACACTCTTTATTCGTTGAAAATTACAAGGAATTACAAAGTGTGATTTTTCTGTACGCTGATCGAAAATGTTTAATCGCATCATCGCTTGAGAGCAATTGGAGATTGACTTTTGAATCGAGTGTTTGTTTATATCCATTATACGAGAAATTCATTAATAAACTCGCTGGAAGATATAATTATTTTCAGTAATTAATATGATTTGGAACAATTGTTTCTGAGAAGATTGAATTTGAAAAAATTCAAATTTAATTCAATTAAACAATTAAATAACAATAAAAATAATTAAATAACTATTTAATTCAATTTAATTTAATTTAAAATTCAATTTTTTTTTTGTTTCGGTAATGTGTTTCTAGACAGAGGTATTTAATTCTATAATACGTAATGCATAATTTCAATTAGTATAGTCATAACTAGAAGGAACCAAAATGTACAAGTAAATATTGTTTCTTTAATTTAAAATTATAACATGACAAAAAATCCACGTGACCTTTTTAGATACAAAACACAACACCGCATCAAAATATAAAGTGGAGAAAAGAGATCTTATTAAGAGCAGGTATTTATAACAAAATGTATTAGCAACACAAAGTCGCTTAGATGTTATACTATAATTACGTTATCAATTACCGACACTTTGAAAAGGAAACATGGGAACAAGAAACAGGAATTTTGAATAGTCATTAAATTTAATTAAGATTCTCCAAGAAAGATGACAAATCAAATATATCTGCGTTACTCAATAGTTTTCTTGCTGACACTTGACAACTTAAAGTTGTAGCAGCTGCTTTCAATTTATTTTTCCATTCAGCGCTGTCGTTCTCACTTATAGAACATAAAATTATTTCGTTTACTTCGTCCTGAACGGAATAACATGCTATACAATTAAATATTGATTTCAAATCATTCTTTACTTTTTTCTTTATTGTCTGATCTCGACTAACTAAATTCAATATAAAAACACCATCATTCGTTAAACATTCTGACACCGATTTTATAACTGACATCTCTAAAAATTGTTTAGGTGGACAACTTATCCCAACTGTAGTGTCTTTACTGTCCACGTCGAAAAGTATAGCCTTACATTTCTTTCCAGTCGCTACGTATTCTTTGATAAACTGAACTCCATCAGAGATTTCAACTTTCATTCTGGTATCAAGAGTAAGTCCAAAATAATCAGTTGCAACTTTGAGCATTGCTTCGTCGATGTCAACTGCAATAATTTTTAACTGCAAAAAATGAAAATATATTTTATCAAATACTCTAATGCTATTCTAATATAATACTATTATATACATACTTTAGGAAAACAATTGTACAAAAATGTACACAAACTCCCTCCGCCTAATCCTATGATCATAATTTCATCATACTCTTTCTGATTTATCACAGCAGCAACACCAATGCTCATATATAAATGATGATCGCAAGCTAGGAAGCCCGGATCTATAACTTTTTTCATTTTGCCACGTCTAGATTTAACTAAAAATATTGTTTAAACGTTATAAAAATTATTAAAATAATAGATTACGAATGATAATAAAATTCCATGCCTTGTTTAAGTCGAGCTTCGCTTTGGATAACATAAGGGTTATTTAGAAACACCAGTCTTCTAAACTCATAACCATCCCTTTCAATCTCTTCAACCACAAAAGAACCACTAAGCTCGCTTTTTCCTTCGTAACATATAACTCTCTGCCCTACATCAGATCCTAATGATAAAAATGGAATATCATTTTTACCAGATAAACCATCTGGCGCTAAATTCAGAATACAATCTTCCAGTTCAGTTTTTACAGCATCCCAACTATCAAACTTATGTTCCCTGCGTAGAGTGACAATTGCAAGTCTATCTCGTTGTGCGCTTTTAAGAACTTGTTGTCTTCCTTCCTTTGTACTAAATAACCAATCTGTTTCTCTAGGCAAATAAGAAATTCGATCTTTATTGCGCATGAACGTCTATTAATATGATATCTACTTCTGTATGCCTACAACAGTGATATAAAATGAGTGCAAACTCACTTTCCTTGTGGTACTATGAACGCTGCATACGTTTTCGTACCGTGCATTTTAGGCTTATCCAACACATAAATTGTGTAGCGTGGATGTTCGTCGTCAGGTCGATGTAAGTCCAATGATATTTCTCCAACATCGGCTACGCTACGTTTCTGAAGATTATTACATATTAAAGCTGACTGCTGAGTTGAAAGCACAGCTGATAACATATCATTTGTTGTTGACACCCGCTTTGGTGGACCGTCAACCAATACCGTTTCTAAAACCTATTATAATTATAAATTAAATCTTTTCAGTTTATAAAATAAAAATTTATTATCATAATTGAACTTTTATGAATATAATAAAAGTACAATACTTACTAGTTGTTGTAAATTTTTAAATTTTGTTGCAACAACTACAAACACTGGAATCAAACTACCTTCTTCTATGCGTGCTTTTGCTTCTGCTTCGTAACAACGTATTATACGAAACATAAATCCAGCAGAAGGAAAATAAGACAGAAGTTCTGTTAAAATATGTTCTTGTAGTAAAGAAATACAAATGTATCTACCACCGTTACGTAGAACTCTTGTAATTTCCTAAAATAATTTAATTCATATTATATAATATAAAAAAAAATTTAATTACCTTTCCCTTCTAAATTATATTATTTAATATATACGTACTTACTTTAAAATATTTATTAACTATGGTCGTTGTATTTTCCTTGGTGTCTGGCATAAGAGCATCTAAAGTACCTTTATCTAATATAACACTAAATGTATCACTTGGATATGTCATTTGTGTAGCATCCATTTGTTCATAAATTAAATCTGGTCTCACTGATGCATTAATATCACACATTTGTTTAATAACAATATGTGATATATCAATATTAGTAATATTCCTGCAATCATAAAAATATATGGATTTATTTTGAATTTAATTTTCATAGATAAATCTATTTAAATTTTATTTGATTGATAAAATGTTGTTTCATTAAAATTTACCTGTAACCAGCATCGTACAAACACATACTAAGCGTTGAATTACCACAGCCAACAATTAAAATATTATCTTTTACTTTCATGAATTTTAAAAGTATACTGCATAATTCTGGATATTCTCCATACCTAAATACAAATACAAATATCATATATTTCATAAATCAAATTCATAAACTGATTATAAATATAAATGATACATACCATTCAAAACTTTTTTTACCACGTTTTTTGAAAAATGTATTCCAGTATTCGACTTGACTAAATTCTTCATGCGTTTTTGGTAACAAATTCATATTTTATATTTTATAAGGAATATTATAATTTTGATGACGTATATTTGTTTTAAATCGTTTGTTATTGTAATTCATACAAGCAGGTTAAATAGATAGGTTAACGATTCTCGATTAGGTAATTACTTACACCATATCAACAAACGTATTGTCATCTAATTTTTAATTATTTTTATATTGAAATCTAGATAAATTTTTTTATTTTACATCATATTAAATTACGTAGATTAATTTTATATATCACTGTTATAATTAAGTACTTTTGCACAAATATTTTAAACACAGAAAATGTTTGTATCACATTATATTTTAAACAGGAACAATATATACATTATAACAAAATTCTTTACTATATTAATTTATTGTAAATCAATTAATAATATACATCCGTTTCTAACCTAATAGCACTCAAAATCCTATTTTGATGTTGTTTTCATTTTTATTCGAGTATTATCACTTTTAAATGCTGCAAAAAATTAAGATAAAAATTTTTACTAAAATTAAGCTCTAATAGTTTGAACATAAAGCTTACTCAAATTATCTTTTTATACAGTATATAGACATTTAAACGAGAACGTTTCTACGCACGGTGACCGTTACTTAAAGACGTACATTTTACAACTTTATCAATTTCTTTTATAATATATGAAAATTACACTAAATGATTAAAACTGATATAGAAATATATACGTAATTCAGTGTTTCATTATTTAATGTTTACCGAAACTATATACAAAATTTTGGTAATGTTTAGTAAACTGAATAAATACAACTATTGTAATGTTGATTCAATATATTTTGGAACTCATTAAAAAAACAATAGTACAAAAAGATTATAACATGTTGATTTATTACAAACAAAGTCAATACACTAATATATATATATATATACAACTACTTTCATATATTTTATATGTATATATATATATGTACATTTTATATAAAGAGTATGCACAGAACATTCATGACTCACATTCATATATTTATATGTTACCGATATAAAAGCTTTTTATATGTGATTATAGGGATGTAAATAATGCTATTCATTTTGAACCATTAATAATAACTAACCACAAATAACATATTAGATTATGTTCAATTAAAAGATACATGCACAGCCTTAAACAAGAAGCAACTGTACTTCAAATTGTTCCATCACCATGGAATATACTATAATTTCTATAAAACTTGTTCAAACTAAATTTTCTTATAAAGCTTTGGTCTAACTTTTCCATGGGAACCCTTGTGTATTCTTTACACACATAAAATATACTCGACAACATTTATACAGTATAGAATTTGCTCAGTATTAAAGAACGTACATATATTGTACATTCTATTTTGCTTGTAATATGCTCGTTTATACACAATTACACGATAATCTGGTAAGATATAAAATTTTCTGTATATGCTATGTATCTTCGCTTAATACCTAACAACATACCTTACTTGTTTTACATATATAAAGTATGATCAATAAAAAAAAGACCAGTATTATCAAAGGTATTAAAGTGTCATTAAATATATCTAAGTTTTTTTTTCTTTCAATATTTTAGCAGTATTCGTAATAATAAAATAAGATAAAAATTGGTCTTGAATTATCAAAGAATTAA